TCCAAAAGCAGTAACTTTTCCACATTTTCTGTAAAATGGACGGCCTTAAAACTCTTGTTCCCTGGTGTAGCTTTTCAGAAGGAGTTTCCTTATCAAGAATGTATCTAGATTCTCTTAACTTTCACCTTCTCCATATCACAATAACACATGAAGTGTCTTTCCTAATTTAAACAGCTGTTCCTTTCAACTGAAGGGTCACAGATTCAGGGCTCTTCGATCACCAACCTTTGTGCCCCCCATAGCTTCAAAGGTCCTCTGTGCCCTGTGCCACCAGGCTCTGGATATTCAAAAGTCACCACTTCCTTCCTCCTGTGTCCTGCCCTCAGCAATGACACCGTGGGAACGCTGACGATAAGAAATGTTTATAACCTTCCTTGGTGTTTCTCCAAGGCAGATTTAAACTTTTCTATTCCTGTCTGGTTCTTTAAATTCTGCAGTAAACGCTTCACACAACCATTCACAAGTCCTGATCTTCCGGACCCCTCTTTCTCCGTCACCATTCATGTGATAATGCCTTGAGAATACTTCACCTCACCTTTTGTCTCCGCAAGTCCATCTGCTTCCCTCTTGAGCTTCAGAGGTAAGCCAGGCCCAGAGAGATGTGGCCTGCGGACACTCGGGACTGGCTGAGCCACCCGCACCTTCTGGAGTGTCCCTTCTCCGACCTGCCACCTGAATTCTCTTTCCTTAAATAAAGACATGTCCCCTCAGGTCCCTTCTCACTGTGAAAGACGATGGACCAGCTACGCCAAGTGCCCTTTGTCTGAGGTTCCCATACCTCATATCCTTAAGCCGCAAAGCGGCGGTCCTCACACAGGTAAGGGGTGCTGGTGGGCAATGGACACGGGAGCCTAGGTTTTCGCGTCCAGTAAAGGGATGGGTTATGGCCAAGGTCCTTCCAGGAGCCAAAATTCTACAATTCTACGACCAAACTTGCAGGTCCTATCTCTGAGGTGAGAGGACCAACTCCGGGGCGACTCCCGAACTCCGAGCCCGCGCTGGCAGTTAGAACGGCCCCCTCCAGCCCCGGCGCTACGTATCCCCGCCTCGGACTTCGGGCGCCGGGCCGCCGAGGAGGCCCGGCCAGCGCCCGCTCGCCGCCGCGCCATGCCCTTCTACATCCTCACCCGCCGTCGCGGGCCGCCTCTTACCTGGCACGCTGGCATCCCCCGCCCTGCGCCGCCCTGGAGACCATGGGCCCGGACGGGTATCGGCAGCCGCTGGCGATGCGTGAGGGAGGCTTCCAGGGACGCGCGGGGCCCGGAATCCAGCGCGCCGCCACGGGGAACGCGCCGCCTGGTTTCTAAGGAACCGGGGTCTCTGGAAAAGCAGGGGCGGGACGGCAGGAAGTCTGCGCATGCTCCGTGACTGGGAGGACCAGAGCTGGGAGGGGCCCTGTCCAGGAGCTACGCATGCTCACTGGCTCCGGGCGGAGGTAAAGCCGTCTGGCTGGAAGCCCTGGTCATTCGTTTCCGGCGGTGGAGGCGGCGGTGGGGACGGTTTCCCAGCCTAGGCTTTTTCCAAGTCGGTCGCCTGGCTGGAAGAGCAAGGAAGTTCTGAGTACTGTGGTGGTCCTTGGTTGTCTCGGAATGAAGGAAGGTCTGCTGCTGGATGACATCTATCTTTGCAGAACAACAGTTTCTCTCGAACTCGCCGGACTTCCCGGCTTTCTGACTCCTAAAGACTCGCTTTTTCGTGCGTATCTGGGCTCCTCTTCTTCTGGATGTTCTTTGGTTGTTCTTACATGTCAGTGCTTTTCAAGACTGCGGCCTCAGTCCCCGTTGATCTCTTTACTGGAACCGGTTTTCCCACCAATAAACAAGACTTTGTAACGAGACTACCCTTTGTTTCACCATACTGTCTGTTAGAGCAGCGAAAATAACCTATAAACCTTGGCATAAAACAAACTACGCTGGAAATGTGTCTGGAGGGAAATGAATTTACCGTGGCTTTACTTATGGAACCAGGACATTTGTACTTAATCTAATACGCCACTCTTCCTTCTACACTAGCTTTTCCCTTTGCTCAGTCGTTCAGTGGCGTCTGACTCTTTGCAACCCCATGGAGCCCACCAGGCTCCTCTGTCCAAGGAATTCTTCAGACCAGAGTGTTGGAGCGGGTTGCCATTTCCTACTCCAGGGGAATCTTCCCGACCCAGGGATCGAAATTGCGTCTCTCACGCCCCCTGCATTAATAGGCGGGTTCTTTACCACTCTGCCACCTGAGAAAGCCCCATACTACACTTGATCTTAGCCAAAAGGCCGAGAAGCGAGCTTTTCCCTCCGAGTCCTGTAAAACGGCCTTGAGTGAAGCCTTCTGTAGTAATGCAAGTTTGGAAAATACTGGATTAAGCTACACATCTTAAGACATAGAGCTTTTAATTAGCAGCTGATGTTTACTCTGAGCATCCATGACCGTTTTTGCTGTTTACTAGGGCACAGAATCCTTTTCCAATTCCAGGAAACGTCTCTCTGAGATACAGATTTATATGCTCTCCAGCAAACCTCCTCACCCCAGTGACTTAGCCACCACCAGTTGCCTGTATTATCTTGCATGCAATTGCCTTGTCTCTTGCTAATCTCCCTCACATCACATCCTGTGATGCTAACATCTGCTAAATATTTCTCCAACCTGCCTTCTTGTGTTTGACCTTGGCCTTTTCTTTGCTTCTAGTCTTACCTCCAGGTGAACAGAAGCGTCATCTACTTTATTCCTCCTCTGCATAAAACCCTGGTGCCTTGGGGGCAGGGGAGGCAGCTTGAGGCAGAAGCAAGCCTGTCACACCAGGGGACACCCTCATGGAGGCAGGGCAGTGGTGTATGCTGTGTGCCAAGCCCTGCTCTATGCATGCTGTAATCCTCTATTACCATGGAGCAGCAGAATTAACCAAGTTAATGGGGAAACTGAAGATGAGAAAAGTTCATGTCCCAGGGTCACCCAAACTATGATTTTTCAGCATGAGTTTTTCCCTTGGACTGAAAGGAAGCTAACCTTGATACCCCTTAAGAGTTTTCTGTACAGTGTCTGGAGTGACCATATTTGGAATGTATTAACATCCTATTTGGGGACTTCCCTGGTGGTCCAATGGTTAAGAATCCATCTTGCAATGCAGCGGATGCAGGTTCAATCACTAAGATCCCACATGCCATGGGGCAATGGAGCCCATGTGCTTTGGAGCCCCGTGCACCACAACTAGAGTCAGTGTGCCACAGCAAAGACCTTGAGTGCCGCAACTAAGACCTGACACAGCCAAATAAAGAAGTAAATATCTTATTTTGAGGAGAGGCGGTTTTATGGCCCACCTTTTTGTATTTTTGTTTCAGATGAAGGTTGTTTCGCAGGAGAGAATCAAAAGCGTGAGTACCTATGTTCTTTGGGGTCTTGCAAAAGTCTTCGGGGTCCTTGAGGAGACACCAAGGGCCTGGGCACTCCCAACAGATAAATTGGGAAGGGGCCAAGCCTGCCAGGACAGCTGTGTTACACTAGGGATGGTCAATCCCAGTAAGACTCACAACAGAGACTAGACACTCATGACTGCTCATGGATGTGTATTTTAATAAAAATAATTCTGTCAAAATACAACAGGAGTTTTTTCATCTCTCAAGTACAATTTAATAGGATGTTTTGTGTTAGAATTCTCTCTAAACCCTCCCACACCCACAAGTTTCATGCTAATGCCAAGTATCAACTTGCGAGGACAAAGGCAGAACCAGTGTGCACAATGTGGAGGACGTCCGAGTCGGCTGTAGTTACTAATGGAGGAGAACCCTATGCAAAGAGGTGGCGCCTGAGGCAGCCAGAGTCCACATCTGGCCACAGGTCTGGGTGCACGGGACTCATGGTCAAGTAGGGCTCCGCTGCCCAGCTGCCACACGGTGTGCATACCTGAGTTGTGAGCAACCAAAGGAACTTTCAGCTCTGACAGATCTCTGCCTCATCTTTGTGCTTGCTTACGGGCTAGGAAGATGCTGGGAGGTTGGGAAGTCCCCCTTCTCCATCTCTTGGTGTCCCTGTTCTGCCAGCCCATGCCCAGCCACAGACCCAGGTGGGTGAGGGACAGGGGTTCTGGCTATCGTTGCATGTCCGCCAGTTTCTGCTCTGGGAAAGAGCAACCATTTGGTGGAACAAGAGGAAAAGGTAAGAGGGAAAGGCTGCTCCCCCAGAGTTGAACGACCAAACAGAGCCAGGTCTTCCTCCTGCCTCCTTGGCTGAAGTCCAGTTCTTCACCAGGACTCCTCCCAGGTGCCTGCCCCACTCTCGGCTCCTGGAAGTAGGCTGGTAGGACTGGGTGGGCAGCAGGGGCTCCGCTGGTTGGCAGGCAGGCCTGGACTATCAGCAAGACAGTGGGCTCAAGCAGCTTGATTTTGGTCCTCTCCACGGCTTGTGGGGCAAAGGCTAATGTCCCGAAGGTGAGCTGTCCAACTGGGACACAGTGCCCCTTTGGAGAGGAACAGAGTAAACAACTTGGACTCAGCTGAAACAGTGAGATAAGGCACAGAAAATGGGGAGGTGGCCATGGGCACTGAGTGTGAGCCAGGCGGACACCCAACCCCGAGCAGCACACAGCTGTCCTGAGCCCTCCAGGGCCCTCTCAGCCGCTCCACAAACCAAGCCCAGGCACCTATCCCCACCCCTGACACACCCCTGAAGGTACCAGCTGCTTAGACATTGCTGGAGGCCTCACCAGCCTAATCCCTCGCCTGCCATTTAGCTTTAGGACTCAACAGTGTTGTCCAAGCCACAGGGAGGAGCTTAGTCCCAGTTCTGCCCCCATCTGTTGAGTAACTTTGGCCAACTCACTTAATCTCCTGGGCCTGTTTCCTTATCTATAAAAGGAGAGGATTGGTGGAGTAGATGGTCTCTGAACTTCATTCCAATTGCAAAAGTCTCTGGTTTTAATTCCCAGTCCTGAGTGCTTCCAATCATTTTAATAGCCTGATTTTTCCAACCCATTGGTTTGGGAGCTGGGCATTCCCAGGTTTGCAGAGGATGAATTTTCTTCACAGACAGGACACCACCTTCCTGATGCTTTGTGGTCTCTGGGCTGCCAGCCGGGACCCCAGTGGGGACCAAGAAAAAGCAGCAACCTTCAGGGTGTGTCCCGGGACAGAATTCTGGGGGAGCACAGGGCCGAGGGCCCTGACCCCATCACCAGTACTTAGTTCAATTATTTCTCTTGTCCAGCTGTAGGCCCAGCAAGTCCCAGTGGGCACCTCAGGCCACTTCCAACCATTCCAGTATGCACTGATGGAGAACCCGGATCCAGGCAGGGACTGGAAGCTTGACTTCTGACCTTGCCCCTTAGCGGGGGCTGTCCGTGCCATTTCCTCCCACTGTGAAGCAGATGGGGAAATCCCGGCCTCTCCTCCTGCTCCTCTGGGAGGGCACCTCCCTTTCCTTCCCGTGGGCGGTCAGTCCTCTCAACAGATAGCCTGCTCAAGTCCTGGCCTCCATCTTAGCCCTTCCTCTCCTGATTCCCTGATGGCAGTACTAAGACGGTTTCTGACCCACTAGCTGTGAGGATCCGTCGGACATGGACAGTGGGACATCTGTCAAGCCCATGAGGTCCCTTCCTCTGGCCAGCAAATACTCATAACAGTCTTTCCTAAGAATGACTGGGGCCAAACTGCAGGGAGCTGCCTGGCACAGCTACAGTGAGGCTTGGCCTGGGGGGTCAAAGGTTCCATCCACTCTGGCGACGGGCAGTCCACAAATCTGCCTTCACAAGGTCCTGGCTTCTCAACAGGAAGTGTCGATTCCATCCAAGCTGTGCAGAGACGATGAAGACCCAGGCAGGAAGAAGGCAGCCCCTGTGCCCAGGGGCCTCCCTGTAGGAGACTCCCTCCCAGCAGCCTGACACACAGCAGCTCTCAGGTCGAAGGCAGGTAGTTCCCAGGCAATCAATTTAGAGGAAATGAAGTATTTGGCCATCTTAACAACAAGGAAAGGCGGGATGTTGAAAAGGGAAGAGAGAGTCAAGGCAGGCAGTGAGAGGCAAGGTAGGATGGTGGACAGCGTGCTGGCCGAGGACCCTCTCCTCCCTCGCTTTGCTGTTAGCCCTGGGCCAAGTCATCTCTTCTGTGGCCCCTTGGCCCTGCAGTTCTCTGCTCAGTTCAACTCTCAGAGGCCTAGGCACCCACACCTCTCAGATGCTGCAAACCAGCTTAGCCTATCCTGCCCACTATGAGGCTCCCAAGGCCTACTGGGCTTTCCTAGGCTGCAGCTGGGCCTGTAGTTCAACAAAGGGGAAGCCTGAAATAAAGAAATCCCTTGGCTGAGGTGACAGAGATGATTCTTTTTTTGATGAGTTGGGACTCAAATAAAAACATGGTGTCTGGACAGCCTCACCCAAGAGGTGCTGGACCACTAACACTACGATAAATACTGTGTCTTTTTTTAATATATATATTTATATATATAATCTCATTTTTTTTACTTATGAAAATAATAAGCTATCACCAACGTGGATAGGCTTCATCACTAAATTAGCAGAAACCAGCTCAGCACAAACTCTCCAGAGATAAATACTGGTGGCTCAGTCAGGAGGAGGGGAAAAAAAAAGATTAAAAAACCCCAACCTCTCCTCAAAACAACCCCCCTCTTTTCAAAATAGAAGGTGCTACATGAAGAGTAACCAGCCAATACTGTGTCATAGGCCGCTGCACGTGAAGGGGGGAGAGAGAGAGAGAGACTGAAGGTGGGAGAAAAAGAAGGAAGGAAGGGAGGAAAGGAACAGAAGAGGCCAGGCAGGAGGAGTGGACTCTGCCCGTGGCTTCCGGGTCCCTGCACCAGGTGCTGATGGAGGGCAGGGCTGCTCCAGCCCTGGGGCCGAGGGAGGGCCACGCGGGGCCAGCCAGTGTGGTCAGCTAGTGCAAGTAGTCGTCGACTCTGGCAAAAGAGCAAGATCCCAGGCCCGCTCGGGCCATGAGCCGTAGACACTCAGATGCCTGGCCCAGGGCGAGCACCAACGGGGGCTGTTTTGGCAGGTTCTGAGACTCTGTGGGGAAGAGACAAGGCCTGGTCACTGCCCTGATCAGGGCTGAGCCCAGGTCCAAGTTCCTCTGGGAGCAGAAGGTGTGGGGAGAGGACAGAATCTCTCGGAAGAGAGAGTTCATATGCCTTCGTGTGTGTCCAAACCGCCAGGCTATGGCCCTGTCAAGAGCCTGTGGACCTGAGCTTTCTTTGGAGCAGTGAGCTGGCCTGGGCCCAGGTCATAGTCTAGCTATGAGCCCACTGTGATCTAGCTGGCCAACTCAGTTGGGCAGAGGGAGGTCAGGGTTCTACCACAGGAGCCCAAGAGTCCTGCGGGCCACCAGAAAGCCTCTGGGCAGAGTTCGCTGCCCTGATCTGGACAAACAAGGGGTGACGGGGCCACCCCAGGCCCTCCTGGGACAGCTTATTTTTGTTAGCGCCACTTACCTAAAATGGCGCTGTTGAGGGCGGCACACACAGGCTCCCTCTGGATGGGGTCAAGCTGCTGGCCAACTGGACAGCTCCAGGGGTCTGAGTAGGCAAGCAGGCTAAAGGCATCCTAAGGAACAGAGCACTTCTGAGAGGACTGTGGTACGCACCACCACCCCCCATGGCTCCAGGGGGGATACGGGGCCCTGCATGGCGTCACGGAGGGCACAAAATACCCCGATGTCCCATTTCCCACTGCAGTCTTGTCTAGAGCTCACGCTCTCCTATTGCTGCTGCTCCCAGTGCCCTCCCAGAGTCACCATACCCCTGTACAACCAAATAGGGGCCCATTCTGTATGAGGGCCTGGCTTGCTCCATACCTGAAGCATCTCCGTGTGGGCCAAATTCTTGCCATACTCCCGGCCCAGCTGCTCACTCAGTGCCTGCAACTCGCGGCCGAACAGGATAATTCTTTCCGTGGCTGCCTGATTGCCCCCGCAGAGCTGCCGCCGCGGATGCCCATCATCTGCACCCAGAGCCCAGCAGGGGGCACATTGGGAGGGCACAAACAGACAAGGGACGACTAGGGTGGGGACCCCAAAGAGAACATGGCAAGAAGGACCTAGGTTGGGGATGGGGGTGGGGGTGCCCTTCTGGTGGAGGCAAGTGAGGGCTGAGAGGCCCAGGGGAGCGAGGGCTCAGAGGCACAGGGGGGCCACCCCGAACTGAGCTGTTCTGAGTCTACCCAGCATAGGGTCTAGGGGTCAGGCAGGACTTGGAAGCTTTCCCTCTCCCACCCTGTGCAGGATGCAAGGGGGTTCATAAGGCTACCTGCTCTCACCAACCCCCTCCAGCCACTAATGCGGGAACTTGGCCTGGGCAGCAGGCCAAGGTCTTCCCATCACAAACACCCACTTGTGATGGCTACAGAGGCAGTGGATCACCCTGCCCAGCCCCACCCCCACCTCCAGCGAGGGGAGACCCAGACTGAGCACCACCACCTACGGAAGAGCGGGCGGGTGAGGGCACGGCCTTACCCATGCTGGACTCATCCGTCTGCAGGTCCTCATGCTTGTAGGCACCATTGACGATGCGTGTGGACATGCTCTCCAGCACACCATTGGGGTAATGCTCCGCCTCCATCTCCATCTCACTGTCACTGTGGAGAAGGGTGGAGATGGCAGCTGGCTAAGTGGATGTGATTGGCGCAGCCTGGGTGGGCCTCCATTGAGGCTTCAGCCACAGGCTGCTGTGGATAAACTGAGGTCCCTAAAGGGCATGAAAGGATAGCTCCCAGGTTCTCAGGCTCCAACACTTGGGCCCTACTGTGATGCCAGCCATCCCCAGGGGCTTGTCACCTCATTCCCACTCCGGTCCCAACGCTGCCTCTGTGACCCTCGCCTCCCCAGCCCTCCTCTGAGGTGGCACACCCCTTCTAAGCACCCCTAGATCCCCAATGACCAGGGCAAGTGAGTCATGACAGGCGCGTCTGGGAGCCAAACCTGGGTCAGCCTTGAAGCATGCCGGGGTGCTGAGAGCCACCTACAGTCTGCAGTTTATAACCTCTACCAGCCCAAACTAGATGAGAGCTGAGCCAAGAAAAACCTCCTTTAGTATAGACCCCAGGTGTTCTGAGAGACCTGGTATCCTGGAGGCAACCACATTCTCAGTGCCAGCGCCTCTGGAAAGATGGGGCCAAGGGAAGCGGCAGCTGAATCATGAGCTAGACAGGAAGCTGAAGCCAAAGCCTGGCCTGGCAGGTCCACAACTACTATTCCAGGCACAGGGCTGGCAGGGAAGTCGGGGATACAGGGCAGGGGGGTGCTCACAGCCTGCAGGACAGGCTGCAGTGGGCACAGAGCGGGAGGAAGAAGCTGAGCAGAACAGGTACCTGGTCTCCTGGTTACTGGTACTGCTGTGGGGCTGGGACTTGGTGGAATCTGTAGAGTTGGACTCGGAGTAATTCACTGAGGAGGGAGATGAGGAGGATGAGGAGGATGATGAGGACGAGGAGGAGCTGGGTGCAGGGTATTTACTGTGGTTCGGTTTGCTCTTGGAGGAGGCGATGCCGTTGCTGCAGCTGGGGCTATCTGCTCCTAAAAGCCAGGGGACGGTCAGAAGAGGAGGGCCAGCCTGCTGCCCAGCGGGGGCCCGGGAGTAACTGCAGTGGTCCCATTTCCCATCCCCCCCACATCCGGCAGCAAGCCCCAAGCCCATCCTGGGGAAGGGCGTCCGGATGGCCTCGCTTCTCCACACCAGTTCTTCCCAGAGCCCTCCGAGAGCGGCTGACCTGCGTTGTGCGTGTGGGAACCAGTGGGGCCGTGGCGGGGACTGAGGCTGGGGGAGCCAGGGTAGCTGTCCTGGGACTTGGGGCTTCGAGAGCTCAAGCTGCGGACCTCACTGTCAGTCCCGTTCACCATCTCCACAAACTGCCGGCACCTGCGGAAGGAGCAGAGCAGCCATGCTCTGGGCTTGGTCTGGGTTGCATATTCCCACCACCAGTGGGGCAACGGGAGGGAGCTGGCAGGGGCCCAGACTTACTTAAGCATGAAGAGCAGGTTGGGATTATGCTCCAGCAGCCCTGGGTAGAAGCGCTGTGTGGTCTCAATGGCCTCCCCCACTCGGCCCTCCAGCACCAGCTTCTGAATCTCTGAGAAGAGAAAAAGCGAGGCAGTGAGAGTGCGGCCACAGACCCCCACACGTCTCCGCACTGCCAGGCCCGGGCACAGGTCAGCCGCCAGTCCAGCAGGCAGGCTCAGGGCGGCAAGCCCCCTGAGATGCTCACAGAAGAGACCAAAGAAAGAACCTGCCACCAGGCCCACAACAGATCCTGGTTTCTGTCAAGTGTCAGGGAGTCCTCAGAGAATCATGGGGAGAGGGAGGAGTGGGCGCCCCCAGCCCAGAAAAGCAGGAGGGTGAGTTCAAAGGCCTGCTCCTATGGAGTTCAGGTTGCCAGGGACCTGGCAGGGGGAGAGGTCTTGGCTATGAGAGTGTAATCTGGGGGTGGGCGCCTGGGCAGCTCTGTGGCTTGACAGGCTCCTCTTCGAGCCTAGACTCCTCTCCTCAGGCCTCATAGGGATGGCAATGGGAGTTCATGGTCTCTGGGCCAGGGCCCGCAGGTTAGTGGTCTGCAGGGGCTGCAGCGGCCCCTGCTGAGAAAGGAGATCACCCTCCTCATGCTGGCAGCTCCGGCATTGACACCTCTCAGGCCCTTGGCATCATGCTCCTGCCCTGGGGCCTGGTGCGTCTTGCTGGGAGGGACTTCTGGGTCTGGGGCTGTTCTCACTCACAGACCCCAAGTCTGGGATCCCTTCCCGTATGCCAGGCTGGGCACAGATTCTCTGGGAGGCACAGACACACCCACATGCACAGAGACAAGAGGCTCAGAGAGACGCAGGCAGGCATACACAGACACACGGTCCACACACCCCTGCTCTCTCCCACTCTCCTCCCCTTGCTTGATCTCTTTTCTGGGCTGTTTCCTCTTTCCCCACATCCTCCTTCCACAAAAGAGCCCCAAACACGCAGCAGGCAGGCCAGTACGAACACCAGGAAAGCTTCGTTGGGCTCCTTCAAAGGCAAAGGGCAGGAGCAGAGGTGGGAAGGAGAGAGAGTTCTACCACAGCGGCCATGGAGCATCAGCCTTTCCCACCTGAAAACTTCATCCCCTCTCTGGCCAGGGGCAGGCAACATGACTGAGGTTGAGTAAATGGTGGACAAGGCAGGGCACTGGACTGGTAAGATGCAAACACACTCTTTCCAGAAGACCATGAATAGGGGGCTGCATGGAATCCTGAATGCCGGGGGAAGCAGACAAGCATGGAGGCAGGGGTAGCCAGCCACACAAGGCCCAGCTTGCAGCAGGCCATCCAAGTGTGCATTAGGATGCCTGCACGGAGACATCCCCATGCTGGCTGGGACAGTCCTCGGGGGCAGTGTTGCCTTGAAAGAGGGACAGAAGCAGGGCCCAGGGCTGGGTGGTGGGCTGGTCTTCTGGTGAGGATCTGAGCTGAACAGACTCCAGACAGGTTACCCAAGGCTGCCACGAGCCAAAGAGCAGGGACAGGTGAGGGAGGGAAGGTAGGGGCAGAGGATAGTCATCCTTACTTTGTCTGTTCTTTATGGATGCTTGTTCTTCCTGAATCGGGGTTTCAGTCATTCGGGCAAAAGCCGTGGCCGTGGCACAATACCCATGATGCACCAGGTAAGACGAGACCATGCTAGAAAAAAGGAAATGCTCAAGGTTGACACTTAAGAACTACATTTCTCACTGACCCCCTGGGGGTCAGACTATCTCCCTAAACATATCTTAAAGATGCAACCTCCACAGAATGAGAATAAAGGGGCTGAAACAAAATGAAAACTTGCCCCACGGCTCCTGCAGTCAGACGGGGGGAGGGGCAGTCACCAGAGCGGTCCTCCCAGCTTGAGGAGTGGCTGCAGTTCTCTGCGTTATGCTGCCCACAAGCGGGCAAGTGTGGTAACACGAGTACATATGGAAGCACACACCATCTCCTCACAGAAGCGGCCGCCTCCTGTGACCTGCGGCAAACCCAGAGACTGCTGCTGCGAGCCTCTCTGAGGGCTTCCCGGAAGGGTGGCCAGCCAAGCAGTCTGGCAGCTGCCCAGATGGGGATGAGGCATGCCACGTGCGTACCTTCTCCAGACACAGGAGCTCCTGTGCAGGCACCCCACATGCCTGGCAGAAGCATTCCAGCTCAGGTGAGCCTGGCCCTCAGGAGTGCTGGCTCTAGAGGGTGATGGGGAGCTACCCCACGACCCAGGTTACTCCACAATACACCACAAATCTAAGGTTCAGAAGCCATGGTTTCAGGCAGTAATATGGCCAACAGGAACACGGTCTTTGGGAGATGGCCCTGAGAAACCTGATGCCCAGAAACCATTTAATCCCGCCCGAAACTGGCACATATAAGCAGGGGCACACGTGGAGCCCTCGTGTCTGATGTGCACGAAAGGGTGTCAATGGTGTGTATGTATATGTGTATATGTCAATGGTGTGTGTATATGTCAATGGTGTGTGTATATGTCAATGGTGTGTGTATATGTCAATGTCATTACTGTAACTGCCCAACCCGAATGTCTGTAGGGCTGTTCTGTGGAAGGCACAGAAGTTCAGCTGAGTGTTCCCTTATGTTTTAGGGGTAAATGAGATGATCCACATAGAGTGCCTAGGCACAAAGCAACAAGTCAATATATACGACCTCTTATTATAAAATTATGTATTCATACATTTTCTTACAAATAAGAATTATAATAATTACACTATTAAAAACACAAGGGCAAAAATTCTTGACAAAATAAGGTTCAGATGAGTCCATACACATATCAGGGGCCACTAAAATGTACAGTCCCCTTGACTCAGTAGTTCTACTTCTTGAAAGGATGCCCAGAAAATAATCTTAAATATAGAAAACTTCTAATGTATAAAAGGGTGACCTACACAGCAAAAGAGAGGAAATAACCTGAAGCTACCACCAAGAGAAGCCACCCAAGGGGCTTGTGGAAAATGTGTCTGTGAGATAATATAGCCATTAACAATGCCCATAAAGTGAAGCTCTATGCAGTCAAAGGATCTGGGTTATATGGAATACTCAGCAAATACGACCTATGAACACACACAGGCACACAGATACACACACATTAACAAACACATCCATGTGCTAAGGCCAGGCCCCGTCAGCTGAGAGCCTCAGCCCCTCCCCCACACAGCTGGGGCAGCTCACCCCTCCCCTTGCCTGTTCCAGCAAGCCTACTGTGGGGACTGGCACCATCTGGCCCTCCAAGGAGGGGCTGTTTCTAAGTTCTGCGGCTGGGGACAAGATGGAGTCATGCTGCTATTCCTGAGAAAGCTCTGGCCACCTACCCCCTGCCTCAGTCCTCCCACAATATCCATCCCTCGAGAAAGAAGGCTGCACGAAGAACCCAGTGTATACCCAACCCCCACCCCCTGGACTCTAGGACCCTGGCATCTACAGGCCAATGACCCAGGCTAAGAGGAGACCAGCCTTCCTTTGTCCATCCTTGACAGCCAAGCCAACAAACTAACCCACCTCCTGGCAGAGTGGGTACAGCTCATTGCCCCACTCGGGCCTGCAGCTGGCAAGTGGCAGAGAGACCTGTATCTGACCTCCCTTGGGATTCTCAGCAAGACTGGCCCTCAGGCGAGTCTGGGAATTAATCAGCCAAGAGTCAGCTAGGTGGGCCCTAGGGAGGTCTCTCTTCCCACCACCACTGCTGCAGATGCAAGGGGTTTAGGTGGATCCGACCCTGAGTAGTGACCTGAGGCCAGAGTCATGGCATGACAGATACTCCCTATGATGGAAAAAAAGTCCACAGAGGAAGAGGCCACAGGGCATCCTAGGACATCCTCTGCAAGATGAGCTGCGGAAGGGAAACAGCCTGCCAGTGATATTACATCCAGGGCCTTCTGATCCAATGGAGGGGCACAGGCTCAACCAGGAGCAGCTCTGGAGAAGTGAACTAAGAGAGGGGCAGGAGAGCAGCAGGCAGAGTCATCCTGGGAGTGCTTTCCAGAAGGAACACTACGCATTAGAGTTCACAAGAGCAGCTTGCAGCAGTTCAGGGGTCTACGGGAGAGTGAGGCCCCTGGGAGGGGGCAGGGCAGGGAAAGGGTGGGGGCGGGGGACTCACTTCTGCAGCACCGCCTGCCACTCGCCAAGCCGGGCACTGATGGGGAAGCAGTGGACAGTGCCCTGGACCTTGGCACGCCACTCCCGCATGTAGTCCTCAATGTCAAACAGGAAGGGCTGCTGCCCAAAGTTGGCGTCCACAATCTCCCCGGGTGTCTGTAGGCCTACGGTGGGGTAGAGGTTGGCCTGAGGAGGAGAATGAAATGTCAGTTGGGCCCTGAGGGCAAGGGGGGGCAGCAGGGCCTCACCTCATCTCACCCTGCACAGAGCAGGGAGGCGCTGGCTCCTGCAGGCTGCTGCTTCGGCTCTGAGAGAACTGCAACAGGGCTGGGGAGGTGGGGGGGGCAAGGCTAAGCCAAGTACTGCCCAACTCCCGAGCAGAGAAACTACTCCCCAGAGTTAGAGGGGAGAAAGCAAAAGAAAAGCCAGGCTCAAGGCGGAGTCTCCTTCCCCGCATTAGAGGCTGTAGTATCCCCAAAGCCCAAGGCCCCCATTTGGGACTCGGCCAGGGCACACAGAGGCAGGCCGGGCCCCACCACCCTGCAGGCATGCCTGTGAGAAGCTGCTGTAGGGGTGGGTGATGGCTCCTCTCAGAGCGGTCAGGACCACAAAAAAAGGGGTTCTGACGGGGCAGGAAGGGATGCGGGGAGACAGGAAAAGAGGGGAGGAAGGGGAGAGTAGGGCCAAGGGCGTTAAGTGGTTTGGACCCCCTGACACTGGAAAAGGGTAAAGAAAAGCCCTTCCTGTCTGAGGCTCAGAGGAGGATCTTCTGGCCAGTGACGTCTGGGCGTGTCCTCTGGGTGTGGGGCTCCCCGCTTCCCTAGCCCCTGCCTGGACCAACTTCTACCAGGTCACTCCCTCACGCCTCCTATGGCTCCCATGCTACAGTCCAATGTCTCGGCAGCTTCCTCCCCATTGTCCCCGGGCTCCCAGTCTTCTCTTCCACCTTCCATCCTCAGGCCCCGTATCATTCCTATCACGTGCTGTTACCGCACTCTGGGCTCAGCCTTCCCAGCACTTGGCAGAGAGTGCTGTCACACCCACATCTGAGTGTTTCGTGTCACATCTCCACCACTAGACTCTTCCCCACTCAGGGTCAGAATTCTCCTGTGTCTGTGTGCTTCACCTAGGACCACAGCCCACCCTTTGGGGACTCCAGGCAGGAGGGAAGGATTTTGATACACAGAGGTGCTGTAGTCTGAGCTTGAGGAGGGCCCTCAGATCATGAGGGCATTTCCTATTCCTAGAGCGTCACAGAGGTGCCCAGGATCCCTAAGCAGGCCCCAGGGCCAGCAAACCCTTCCTCCTTCCAGAACCAGCCAGGGCACATAGCCAGGCCAGACTCCCACCATTCTGGGTGGAGGCCCTGCATGTGACGAGGCCCAGGATGACTCATAACTGAGGAGTGGGGTGCAGGAGGTGGGGGAGCCCTGAACTAAGTCAGCAGGAAAACTGACCCTTTACCCCATAAAGCTCAAGTCTCTGGCTCAGGGCTACCCTGCATGGTAGCAGGCTCAGTCCCCAAGGGTGCTGGATTTCCTCAGGGATCTCAGATGGGGATGCACACGGACCCAGCTCCCTAACAGTTCAGAACAATTTTCTATACTCTGCCCGTGAGTCCACTGGGTATAACCCACACAGAACTGATTCAGACCAGCTGAGCCATGGAGCTACCTCATCGCTGCCTACACCGTGCCCCACCCGCTGGCTGCCTGTGGAAATGCCACAAGTCATGGTCACCTACTAAGAGCTGTGGAGGAAGGCCAGGCCTTGCTGCTGGAGAGAGAAGGCTGGCAGGGCCCCTTACTGATACTTTCAAGTGGATGGCACAGCACACACCGCTGGGTGGGGAGAGGGCAGGACCCCGCTGTGCCTGCACTATGCCTGTCAGCCCCCAGGGGCCAGAGCAGACGACCCCACAGCAGTACTTACCGGGAGGTCTGTGAAGGCTATACCTGCGGAGGGAAAGGAACAGTCATCAGGCCACATGGTGGATTCCCACACCTCTGCGGGCCCCCAGAGGGCCTGTCACAATGGCTGGGGGAGGGGCTGGTCACATCTCCCCTATGGTGGAGGGCCAGCACGAGCCAGGGCCTGGTAGGTTTACATCCTGGCCAGAAGTGAAGTCTGATATTTGGGTATTTGTCCACAGCATTTCTGTCCTCTGGGGGAAAATCTGCTAGGAAGGACCAACACCCAAATGAGCGATACTGAGGCCTCTCCAGGCCTGATCACACTCTCTTGATCCAACAAATATTTAAATGGCAACCCACTCCAGTATTCTTGCCTGGAAAATCCCATGGACAGAGAAGCCTGGTAGGCTACACTCTCCATGGGGTCGCAAAGAGTTGGACATGACTAAGCGACTTCCCTTTCACTTTCACTCTGTATGCCAGGCTCTTTTCTACCCATTACCTCATCTGATCCATAGACCAACTATGGTGCTAACTAAGGGAGTGCTTAGTTAGGTGTTAACATCTGGTGCTTAACCAACTAAAGGAGCAGGCTTTCTTATCCCCATTTTACAGATGTGGAAAGCCAGCCTCAGCAGTTAAGTGATTTGCCAGCAGTCATAAAACCAGCAGAAACTAGTCATTCATACCAACACTGACAGAGAAGTGGCAACAGAGAGGGTGGCAGCTGCCCATCTTCAGCCCCTACTTGCCCAGGGTCCCCAGAGATTCTGGGCTGACAAAGCCCAGTTTAATACTGGCCTGTGTACCCTCTGAGCCTTCCTGCCGAGAAAAGAGACTGTGTTTCCAGGGACCCCAGTCCGGAACAGGAAGTGAGGGTAGAGGAAAGCAAGACCTAAAACATATCAGCAGGCCTGAGCAGGAGAGGGGCCTCAGTATATAAACCAGAGCATTTATGTTTTGCAGGTTGAGAAGTGACTCAAAGCCAAAGGAGACTCTCCCGAGGACTCACAGTCTTCCTATTTTTTAAGATAAATTCTTATTACATCCTCTAGAAGTAATTCTAAGCTTTTGGCTTGAGAGATTTTCAAACCACTGACTACTTAGAGGTCCCTGTCTTCTCCCTCAACTCCACACAGAAAAGAAACTGAAATCCATCAGGACAAAAGAACAGGGGAGGGTCTGAAGACAGGCCTCCCAGGAAACCTCGGGCCAGAATCCTGACAGCTATCCAGCACATCCCATGTGCTTCCTCTGTGCTGGGCACTTGTTCCACCTCTTACAAGGAAGCATTTAATATTCAGAACAGGCCTGGAAGGTGTATACTGTCTCTGACACTGGTTTATGTATGAAAAAACCAAGGCGCAGAGAAATGTTTACATTCTTTATTGGGCCATTTTGCTCCTCAGTGAAAGAAGTTCATAAACCCATGACCTGCCTGCCTGTGGCCACTTCCAACCCCACGTGCATAGTCAGCGGTCACAGAACCAGCAGGATGGACTCTGGAAGCCCCTCAATGTCCACCCACTCCACCCACCAGGTCTGCATGGGAGCTGCCCCTATGGATCTCCATGTGGCCGGGCTACTGCTGCTCGGCTCCCAGGCTTGTGGAGAGGCCCACAGAACTCTGGAAGAAGGGGGAGTCCAGGCTCTATCAATTACCTGCTGTGTGACCTTTGACAAGCCACCCAATCTTTCTGAGCCTATCTGACAAAAGAGGGATACACCCAACACCCCAAGAAGAAAGGAGAAAGAGATTCTGTGTGAAAGCTGCCTTGTAAACTGTGAGGTCCAGGTAGAGCTGGCTGGACTTGCACCACAGGGCAAGGAACCTGCCAAGCTCATGCCCAGGGGATGACCTACCCAGCTCACCTAGCTCTTTCTCACAGTGGCACTTGAGAAGGCATCCAGGAGGATGTGGAGAGAGGCTACTCCACCCCCTATTGCACTGGACAAGGGCGACACTGCTTCCCACAGCCCTGCAGGTCTCCAGGAGTCAAAGCCACTGTGATAGCAAGATATGAGATGGCCCACGGGAAGATCTGAGAAGTCCGGGCAAAGATCCAGGATGCAAATAGGACATACAAACCTGCTGATGAGAAGTACCCTGAGCCAAACACCCAGAGCTCAGGGATCACTGAGGCCGAGGGTTTAGAGAACCTGCATAAAAACTACTCTAGGAGCTTTCCTGGTGATCCGCTGGTTAAGAGTCCATACTTCCACTGCAGGGGTTCCGAGTCTGATCCCTAACCAGGGAACTAAGATCCCAAGGTTTGCAGGGAAAAAAAAAAATTACTCTGGAAGCACAGGGACCACTTGTGGGTGAGACATCAGTCTCCATTCACTCAGAACGTTCATTTGTCCTCCCGTCAAGTATTTGCTGAGACCTCGCAGGAGCCAGGCCCTGCGTGAGGCACTAGGAAACCAGCTGTAAGCCTGGCCCTAAGAGTCCTGCCAACTCCAGCAAGAGAGATGGTGTACAACTAGCAATGACATAGATAGCTGACCAGTAACACACAGGGCGAGTGCTGTGACAGAGGACGAGGGAGCAAATAAAAGGAGCAGGGCAGCTGGAGGCAACAATTGTCACTCTGTTTCTCTAAAAGGAAAAAGGTTCTGAGGTGAGAGAGCAGTCACTGGCTCAATGATCCTGCGTGAAGCACATCACATTGACACGCTGGCTTGTGAGAAGAAAACAAGGTCATTAGAAGAGTCACCAAGTGGTCTATCACTCAGAGTTCATTGACCCTTCCTTTAAATTTTGTGATCTAGAAGATGCAGAGGATAGGTCAGATTCATTTTTTAGTATAGTCTAAGCAGTATCCTTGTGGGCAAGACAGAAAAACGTGAGCTTCAGAGTAACATACTGAAGTGCTTCTTAAATGGCTGGTGTCTACTTGGACAAGCTGTAGGCTGAAGGGCTCAAATCCAGCCTTGTCCTCTTCCAATATTTTTATCAGTATCTTGATGAAAACACACAGAAACATGCTTACCCAAATTTAGGATAACACATAGTTAAAGATTGTTAACATGTAGCTGTTAACATATAGTTGTGGTGTTGGAGAAGACTCTTAAGAGTCCCCTGGACTGCAAGGAGATCCAACCAGTCAATCCTAAAGGAAATCAGTACTGAATATTCACTGGAAGAATGGATGCTGAAGCTGAAATTCCAATACTTTGGCCACCTGATGCAAAGAACTGATTCATTGGAAAAGACCCTGATCCTGGGCAAGATTGAAGGCAGGAGGAGAAGGGGACGACATAGGATGAGATGGTTGGATGGCATCACTGACTCAGTGGACAAGAGTTTGAGTAAGCTCCGGGAGTTGGGGATGGACACAGAAGCCTGGTGTGCTGCAGTTCATGGGGTAGCAAAGCGTCGGACATGACTGAGGGCCTGAACTGAACTGAACACCTGAAGAGGATACCAAATATTGGAGGCAGGACGAGCAAGACCAAAGCAGATCTTGACAGACTAAGAAAACTGACAATAGAGACCTAAAGGAAGTTTAACTGCGAGAAGTGTAAGGTCTAGCATGGGTCTATATAAACATGTACTATGGAGATAAGTTTTTAAAAGCAGTGATAGGGTCTGGCTGACACTGAGGTGGCCATGAGCTCTTTAGGGATCTAGACTGACAAAGGGTTGAGGGCCCAGAGGAGGGAGGCGCAGGTGCAGAGAGAACAATAAGTATGTTCCAAATCTCGTGTCCCACGGCAGGTGCCATGCTCTGAGAAAAGTGAGGGCAAGCTGAAGAGGAGTAAGGAGGGCAGGTGTTCAGAGCAGAGAGGCAGGGCTGGGCCTGGCCCAGAGGGGCAAGTGAAGCAGGACTTGGGCAAGGACTGAGAGCCCGTGACAGTGGCCCCTGGACTGTGACAGCAGAAGAGTCAAGAAGCACGAAATGGCTGGAGTCCAAGAACAGAGTGGGGAATGAGGCCTTGCCGTGGAGCAGCGAGTTCCTTCCAGGCTGGACACCAGCACTTGTGGCTAGGTGGCCATGGGTCAGGGGAGGGCTTCCCGGACGTGCGGCTGGGTCAGCTCTGCGGCATCTGGGCTATGCTCCTGGCTGCCCACTCCGGGCCGTGGCATCCGACTGCCCTGCTGAGGAATGCTGGCTCCTGATCACCTGCCACAAGTAGACCTGATTTCCACGCAAGTCCCCTGATTTTGCCTGGGCTTGGAGAAGCCACAGAAAGGATGTGGGGAGTGGCAGCCACCTTCTGACTGCCTCTGAAACTAGGGGAAGTGAGCCTCCTATGAGTTGGGTTCAAAGTCAAATGCCCAACTCCCCTTTGTGGCAAAGCCTCTGGTCAACCTGGCTGGTATGGTTCTGCTGGATTAGAGACCTCTGCAAACTCAGGCAGTCCTGCTCAGCAATTAGGTACCACCTCATGGCCACTCTGGCTGTGGGTTCTGCTCCCTCAAGGGCCAAAGAGTACCCACCCCTGTTAGGGCAAGGTGTCAGAACAGCCGGAGTTCCCCTCTCTCTGAAGTTCTATCCTAAGTTTCTCTGCGTGTACAGGACTGCTCTGCAAGGGATCCTCCACCTGCCTGCTGCTGCTCCTGGGTTTCTGACTGGTGATGGCATCACTAATCCAGCTACTTTCCCAGGTTCCCGTCTCGCCAGTGTGCCCCACCTGTCACCAACCCATGCCGCGCCACCCCGAGGCCTCTGCAGGCCTGTTCTCCACTGTCTGCACCCATCATCACGGCTGGGTCTCAGGCCATCTGCCTCCTCCTCGGCCCTTACTCCAGTCAGTTTGTCCTTCTAAGTTTAACCAAAGGGACCTTTTCAACATAATTCTGTCCAAGCTGCTGTCTGTTAACCACAAAAAGGCCAGAAGAGACCTGGCCCCATCTGACTCCAGCTTGTCTGTTTACCTCCTGTACTAGAGCAGCCCTCACTGTGGCTCCATAGCAACCAGCGCCCGACAGAAGGGCCAGCCAAAGTCTGGGCCCAGGCAACTGGCACAGAAATCACTTCCACTGTCCAGTATGTATAGAGCCCCTCAAATTGCTTATCAACCCTAAACCCCGCTCCAGTGAGTGTCACACAGGCCAGGAGCATGACCACGACATTACTCTCCCTCAGCACTGACCCAGGCTCAATAAATGTTGTTGAATGGATGGATTAGCAAAGGGAGAACCCCTATACACTCTTTTCCCCTTTCAAGGCTCTGATGCTTAGAAAAGGCTGCAGTTCCCCAGAGCTCAGCAGAGTATATACGGCATGGCTCTGGCTTCAAAACCTGGCTTCGTCAACCAAAGTGGCTCCACAGGGCAGACCCTCCCAGGTCCCCCATGTACCCACCAAGGCTGTGGCCATTCTTGGTGTAGAAGCAAGTGCCGTTGATGAGGTTGACGCAGCACCCAATCACATCTCCTGTAGTGAATGTGGGACCATAGGGCTGGCCAGTCCCCGAGGAGCAGAAGGAATGCCCATCATCACCATGGTAACCATAGGAATGTTTATCCCAACCTGTGGAGGAAAAGAGAGCAAGAGCTTAGGCGAGGTACTTGAGAGAACAAGACAAAGAAGCCCACTCAGTCTGAGCTCTAGCTTCCAGCACCTCACCAGCACACCTGGCCTCTAAGAGCTGGCTATAGGCAGGGTCTGGCTGTGTTAAAGGATCAGTGAGTTCAGCAAGTCACTGTCCTGAGGAGCTGAGGCAGCCGTGCCAAAGAAAGCCCAAGCTGGGGTTAACAGGAACCAAAAACATGCGTGCCCTGGAAGGGACTTACCAGAGGGCCATGAAACAAGGAGATGACTAGGGAAAGCCTCATGAAGGAGAAGGGGCTTGAACTGAACTCTGAGGTATATCATGGTTTCTTTTTTAACGCTTTTTCAAACTGAAGTATTATTTACATGTAATAAGATTCTTCCTTTTTAACTGACAGTTCAACAAGCTTTAACAAATATTACCACCACCACTATCAAGATATAGAACATTTCCATCAATCCAAAAAGTTTTCCCTCATGCCTCTCTGCAGCCGAGTCCATTTCACTCACCCCTAAGCCTTTGGCAACACTGATCTGCTTTGTTCCTATGGTTTAGGCTTTTCCAGAACGTCACATAAATGGAATCACAAGGCTTCCCTGGTGGCTCAGGGGTAAAGAATCTGCCTGCCAATGCAGGAGACACGGGTTCAAACCCTGGTCCAGGAAGATCCCACACACCATGGAGCAACTAAGCCCACCAGCGAGACAACTGCTGAGCCAGCACGCCACAGCTCGAGCGCTGCAACCACTGAAGCAGTGAGCCCTAGAGCCCGTGCTCCGCAACAAGGGAAGCCACCGAAATGAGAAGCCCGTGCACCACAACTAGAGCAGCCCCACCTGCCACAACTAGAGAAAAACCTGTACAGCAATGAAGACCCAGGACAGTCAAAAAAATTAAAAAATGGAATCACAGAATATGGAGTTTATTGTGTCTAGCTTCTTTCACTTAGCATAATGCCTTTGAAATTCATCCACATTGTTAGGTGTACCTGTATTTTGTTTCTTTTTATTGCTGAGTAGAACTCCATTGTATGGACATACCACAGTTTGCCTATTTACTGGTTGATGGCATACAGTTGTTTCTAATTTTGGGCTAATATGAATAAAGCCCTGGACATTTGTATACAGGTTTTTGTACAGACATATGCTTTCATTTCTCTTAACACTTAGATGGGGGACTGCTGGGTCACAAGATAAGTATGTGTTTTACTTGATAACAAACTGTCAAACTGTTTTCCAAAGTGGCTGTACTGTGCCGCGTTCCTAGCAGCAATGTATGAGTTTCACAATCTCACCAGCACTTGGTACTGTCAGTTGTTTTTCGTTTCTTCTTTTTCTCTTAAGACATTTTAATAGGTACGCAGTGGCTGTAATTTGTATTTCCCCCATGTCCAAGGACCTTAAGCATCTTTTCATATATGCTTTATATTCAGTTTATTAGAAAATTATTGAACTATCAATTCAAATCTCTTTTTTCTGTTTAATTTATATGGAACCATTTGAAGTCACTCAGTCGTGTCTGACTCTTTGTGACCCCATGGACTGTAACCTACCAGACTCATCTGTCCACGGGATTTTACAGGAAAGAATACTGGAGTGGTTTGCCATTTCCTTCTCCAGTAAATCTTTAAAAAAAAAACTGGTTTGTAAATCTTACTGAGTTGTAAGAGTTCTAGATATATTTTGGATACAAAATGTGTTTGCAAATATTTTCTTCCAGTCTGTGATTTGTCTTTTTCATTTTCTTAACAGTATCTTTCCAAGGCCTGTTGGCATTTTTAAAATCATTTTTAAAATTTGAATATAGCTAATTTCCTGCTGGGATTCTGACTGGGATTGTACTGGATCTATAGATCAACTGGAGAGAATGGGCAGCGTAATAATATTGATTATTCAAATCCATGAACATGGTATACTTTTCCATTTATTCAGGTCTTCTTTAGTTTCTCTCAGCAGTGTTTTGTCAAATTTATCACTAAATATTTCACTTTTGATGTTATTATGTTATTAAAAAATTTTGATTTCTAATTGTTTCTTATATCAAAATATATTATATCAAAATATACTTAATTTGGGGGGTGGGAGGATGGGGTCAAGGTTTCTTTCTGGAGTGATAAAATTGTCCTAAAATTAAGAGTATGATACCGGTTGCACAACTGTGCAAACATGCTAAAAAACCACTAAACTGTACATTTTATTTCTTTTTTGGCTGCACCATGCAGCATGCAGGATCTTCAGTAACCAGGGATCAAATCCATGTTCCCTACACTCCATGTGTGGCGCTTTAACCACTGGACTGCCAGGGAAGTCTTGAACTACCTACTTTAAAAGACTAGACTTTGTGGGATGGAAAATTTATCTCAATAAAGCTATTAAACACACAAATGTATTTGATTTTTTATTTATTCATCTGGTATCCTGCATTTTTGTCAAACTCACCAATCAGTTCTGGTGGCTTTTGTAAAGACTGCAGTGCCCGCTGAAAAAAGGTTCCTAAAGAAGAAACCCCACTTCCCACATACAAAGAACCTATGTGTAATCCAGAGAAAGCATCAGAAGCACCAGACTTGAGGCCATAGGCCAAGTTCTCAGCATGGAGTCTCCCAAGACAGGCTATTCTGCTTCAGTGGCTGAAGCTACTAGAAACCCAAACTTCTGCTCCAGGGGCCTTTTGCCAGGGACAGTGGTGGGGCTCTCTCAATGCTGTCTGACCAGCACAGCCTTCCCTAAAGCTAAGCCCACTGATTACCACCTCCTGAGGCCATTGGCTGTCAGGGGAAGACTTTCCAGCAAAACCACTGTCCATTCTAGCTCTCTGCAAAGAATCCTTGTAGGGGGGCTAGCTTGCTGTTTCTATCACTCCTCTCAGAACTACGCCCACAGTTGCTGACTGATGCCCACTAAGTTCTCTTTTGCCAGTGCATGAAAGATTGCCAATGCTTGCCCTCTGAAGATTTCTATAACATTCTTTGGTCCACCCCTAGTATACTGCCCACATTCTCTATCAGTCCTGGTTCCTGTTGAGCCTCTCTGGTCACCAATCACTGTTTCTGGGGCTATCCCTGTCTCACTCACCACTTCCTAAGCCTCCCTTCAACCCCTGCCATCAGGAATCTGAGAGATGAGAGATGACACAGGTGTGTGCATACACAGGATGTGTATTTGTGTGTAGTGACTAGTTCCAGTACATTTCTTTCTCACACAAGGATGATCCTGTGTGACAGATCTTTTATGCAGATTCTATAGTCCAGAAAATAGAAGACACAAGCTGGGAGGTTTTCTTTTGTTTCTTTATTTAGTCTTCTCCAACTGAAGCAGTGGGTACTCTTTAAAAACGAATACAAATGCAGCCATTTGATTTACTGAAGCTAGTGAAATCATCAGCAGAACTGTTTCCAACTTAGTCAGTGACTCAAGGATATTTGTGAGCTATTTCTGTCTCAGTGTATGGGAGCTCAATAGTGATCGCCAAAACAACAGATGTTTATATTTTCAAAGACCTAAAATAAAAATTTGAGTATTTTGAATACTTTTCTTCAAAGATAAACTATGTAATTATTTTGACAAACCTACCATAGAATTTTTGGATTTTTAACTCAAGCTACTCAAGCTATAAATATGGATTTTAAGTTTTTAAAAACTAAAGAGCTCAAATACAAACCCAAAATATCTATTTAGAGTCAGTTCAGGATTCACCATCATCTCAGTTTGACTGAAAAATAAATACATTTTCCTGTTTTGCTTTTCTGCTTTTCTTCAACCCTCAAATGAATTTTTATTAGTTATACAGATTTGCCCAGAGGAAGAAAATTCATACTTAATGTGAAGTGAAAGTTGCTCAGTCGTGTCCAAATCTTTGAGACCCCATGGACTATACGGTCCATGGAATTCTCCAGGGCAGAATGCTAGAGTGGGTAGCCATTCCCTTCTCCAGGAGCACACTGAATAAGGCCTCCCAAAGATGTCTAGGTCCTAATCTCCAGAATCTGTAAAATATGCTACTTTGCATGGCAATAAAGATTTTGCAGAAGTGATTAAGTCAAGGCTCTTGAAATGGGGAGATGATCCTGGATTATCTTGGATAGGGAGAGTACAGTAATGCAGTTATAAGGATACATGTAAGAGAGAGGCAGGGGCGTCAAGTCAGAAAAGGTGATGTGATGGTGGAAGCAGAGAGAGAACAGAAGACGCTATTATACTGCTGGCCTTGAAGATGGAGGCCAGAGGCCAGCAGCCAAGGTATGCAGGTGGACTCCAGAATCTAGAAAAGGCAAGGAAACAGATCCTCCCCAACAGCCTCCACAAAGACTACCACCCTGCTGACACCTTGATTTCAGGACTTCTGTCCTCTAGAACTGTAAAAGGATTATTTTAACCCACTACTATTGTAACATCAACAACAGGAAACAAATACAGTCTGCTATGGCTTGCCTGGAAAATCCCATGGAGAGAGGAGCATGGTAGGCTCCCACAGTCCGTGGGGTCGCAAAGAGTCGGACATGACTGAGCGACTTCACTCACTCACTCACAGCTACAGAAGAAGCTTCTGAGCGTCTGGAATGATCAGTGCAGAGAAGCAACACATCAGCCACTTGTCTCCTGCTCTGCAAAGCACTACGAAGTTAAAAGCTTTTCAAAGAAGATCACAGAGCTGTAATGTATCTTCAATAGAAGCTATCATTTCACAGCCAATATTTTTTCCAAACACCATTAAGAGCTTGTGTGTGTGTGTCTGTGTGTGTGTAAGATGTGTATGAATGCATGTGAAAGGGTTTTTAACTTAGGTTAAAAACAGAATGTGAGTATATGGCTCATTTAGTAACAGTAGCTGCAGCAGCAGCAGTTTGGTTTAAGACCACTGTGCTACTTTTCCATCTTCTGGAAAGAACAGGCATCATCCAACTGTTATCACTTAGTTAACAAAGGCCTGCCCCATGGAGTTGACAAATGAGGGTGGTGGGTGGTGTGAAAGGGGCAGA